AAAAAAAAAAGAGAAGAGGATAGAGAAAGATAGCAAGTGAACAATAGAGGGGATGTTAGTGAGAAACAGATATGGTTTATTATCTGTTGAAGATGACGTGTATAGTATTCTCAACTGGACTGGTCTGGGAAGTATTTCATGATGGGTGAAGTCTTTTAACAAGCAAAATGAGAAATAGTGATTGACTGTTTTAAAAAATTATAATAATAATAATTATTGGGAAATGCATGGAAAAGACTTTGAATGATAAGGCGGGGAGATTGATGTCTCTGTATTGACTGACATGCATGGCATTCCCTTTTGAAAAAGCAATGGAAGTCAATGTAAAGTTATATGTAATCCAATGTAATATAAAGAAGATTATGATGATTAAAAAAAAAAAAAAGAATACCAATGTAGAGCCCTACATGTATTCTGACAATATAGAGAAACCTAACAGGAGGGTGTAGATCCAGGAGATTAGAGGAAAACAATTAAACATAGAATTACCATATGATTCAGCAATTCCACTCCTGGGTATATACCCCAAAGAATTGAAAGCAGGGCCATAAACAAATATTGGTTCATGTCCCATGTTCATAGCAGCATTGTTCATAAAAACCATAATGTGGAAGCCAATTCTCAGGGACGAATGCATGGAGAAACAAAATGTGATATATGTGTATAACTGAATTTTTTTTTGGAGAGGTTTTTGCTATAGGGCACGTGCGCTTGCCAGAGAGACAGAGAGACAGAGAGATAGAAAGCGAGAAATCACCCCCCCAGGGGGGATGGCCATGTCGCAATTCCTTCTCCTCCATTCTCCCCTCGGGATCTTGGGCACGCATGCACATGCGCCCTGCATGAATTTAAAGCCACCAGGTCTGGGACATGAACCGTGGTCAACTACATGGGAGTCCAGCGACATAGCCATTACGCTAATTGCTGGTCCCTATAATTGAATATTACCCAGCCTAAGAGGGAATGAAATCCTGACATAGCTACAACATAGGTGAACCTCGAGGAATTATGTTAAGTAGGATAAGTCAGTCAGAGAAGGACAAATATTGTATGATTCCACTTACATGAGATTTCTAGAATAATCAAACTCATAGAGGCAGAGTAGAATGGTGGTTGCCAGGATGTGGCAGGGCAGGGACAATGAGAAACTTTCATTTAATGGGTGCAATGTTCCTGTTTGGGAAGATGGAATTCTAGAGATGGATGGTGGCAATGGTTCCATAACAATGTAGAAGTACTTAGTGTCACTGAACTGTACATTTAAAAATGGTTAAAATTGTAAATTTTATATTACATTATATATATTTTACAACTTAAAAACTAATAATGATTTAAAAAAGCAAAAACCTCACCATCATTGGGAAAACAATAGCAGCAGGAGATGCCTTGATGACCCAGAGCAGGACAAGGCAGGTCAGCTGGATGAGGGTGAAGAGGTGCACTTTGCGGAGTGGCACGTGGCGCAGGTAGATAAAGTCTGGCTGGTGCTTTGCAGGCATCCCAAAGAGCTTCAGGCGATCAAAGAACTGAAAGGAGGGAACTAGCATTTATTTTCAGGAAAATTCTCTGGTCCAGAAGTTTTGTTAGACCCATTCAGGTTGCTTATATCACCTGCTTTGAAAGGTAGATAATAGTGTCCATTGGCCAGAAGTGGACACTGAGGCTCAGAGAGAATCAAGGTTGTAGGAGGCTGAGTCAAGATTTGTTTTTGTTTTGTTTTTTAATTTGCTAGAGGACATGTGTACTAGTCAGAAAGTGAAAGAAGGAAAGTGAGAAAGCACCCCCCAGGGGAGATGATTATGCCACAATACCTTCTCCATTTCTCCTTTCAAGATCTTGGGTATGCACACACATGTGCCTGGTGTGCTTTTCAAACTGCTGGGTCCAGGACACAAACCACACAGTTAGTCATGTGGGACCCAGCCAACTTCACCCCCACACCACTGGATGCCCCATGAGTCAAGATATGAATCCATTTTTTCTAATTCTAGGTTCAAATTTCTTTCTCCTGTCTCAAACTATGGCTCCTGAAAGAGCTCTTTCTCAAGGAGCAATGAAAACAAAATAAGCTTTGTTTATTATCAAAACCAAAACTCTTTTTTTTTAAGGGAGGTTTTTGCTATAGGGCGCATGCGCTTGCCAGCAAGGCAGAGAAAGACAGAGAAACAGAAAGCAAGAAATCACTCCCAAGGGGAGATGGCCACACCACAATCTGTTCTCCTCCATTCTCCTCTCAGAATTTTGGGCACACATGCACACATGCCCAGACACCCAGCATGAGTTTCAGCCACCCAGTCCAGGACTCAAACCACAGTCGTCTACATGGGAGTCCAGCAGCATAACCATTATGCCATCTGCTGGTCCCTCAAAATCAAAACTCTTACTTGTTCCTTGAGGGATTTAGAGCTATTCATTATTTATAATGAAAAGATAAAATGAAATCTCATTATATTCTAAATATATAAAACATGATCTTCTCTATATTATAAAAAAAGGAAAACAGAGATCCAAAGATTAAATAACCTGCTGAAGGCCACATTAGAACTCAGCATATGGCAGGGCCAGCACGTGGCGAGGTAGATAAGGCACTGGATTCCCTCATAGCCAGCTACAGTTCAAGTCCCAGACCTGGTGACATACATTGTCTCTCTTTCTGGTAAGTGCGAATTATAAAAGAATAAAATAAGTTAATAAAATAAAATAAATATATTTTTAAAAATTATTTATTTACTTTTGTTTGTTCATTCATTTTATTTTAATTTGACCAGAGAAAGACACACACGGGGTGGGGGGCGGGGGGAAGAGAGAGAGAGAGAGAAAGAACAAAAGAAGGAAAGTAAGAAAGTAAGCCACCAGGAGGTATGGGACTCGAACCATGGTCGGCCATGTGGGTATATCCAGCACCTTAACCATCAAGCCACCTGCTGGTCCCCAAAATAAATATTTTTTAAAAAAGAACTCAGTATATGGGGGCTAGCAGGTGGCATAGTGGTTAGGGTGGCTGAATCCCACATGGCCAAATGCATGATTTAAATCTTGGACCCAGAGGCTTGAAAAACACCAGGTGCATGTGCATGTGTGTCCAAAATCCCAAGAGGAGAATGAAGAAGAAGAGATTGCAATACAATCTCTGGGAGGTGCTTTCTCACCTTTCTCCCTTGAGGTTGCTTTTTTACTTTCCCTCTCTCTCTGTCTCTGGCAAGCATACACACCCTATATGAAAAAATTTTATAAAAACAAGAGAAGAACTCAGTATATCTCAAAGAAAATTCAGACAATAAAAGAAGAAGCTATTGTATTGTCTGAGTGCCCAAGTGTTGATGAGAAGCTCCTGATTTTCTCTGCCTGAAAGACTCATAGGAATGAGTTAACAGACAGGAAAAGGCAAGTATAATAGGAAGATATCTGCTTATATAAAGCAACTCTCACTACTGCCCGATCTTTTCACCCATGACCTCCAAAGTTGACCTCTGCTTTCTGATATGCTTAACCTGGCACTAAACCTTGAGCTGCCCATGTGTGGAAACCAGTTTGGTTCTTGACTCTCTTTCAGATTCAAATTTACCAGCACCCAGCAAAGCACCTAGTATTTAAAATGTGCCAATAATTGTCTGCTGAATAATGAATGAATGAATGAAACCATGACATCAAACCAGGCCACGTTGGAAATCTGTAATATCATGCTAACATGATAGTATTTTGTCCCTTATCCAAAGAAATGTCTAAAATAGCTTAGCTAGCAAGACTAGGAAATAGTTTCTCAGAAACTGGTTGTGCTTCCTCTGAGGAGTTGTCCCTCCCTGTCAGGACAGATGAACTCAGAGTGAGAAGATATGACCCTGGACAAACCACACAATACCTGAATTCCCTGTAGTGAAGAAACTCCCATGTAGAGGAAAACTCCATAGAGTACTGGCATCGGAATAAACTGGGAACAAAATGGTAGAAAGATCAGAAATGAACTGGTATCATAGAATATTCAAGACTATAAAACTATAAGCTATAAAATAGACTAATAAGCCATTAAATCTCCAAGAAGGAAACAAAATCACAAAATAGCTGCATCAGCTTTGTATTACTTTTGCTGTTTTTATATGATTTAGAAGTAGAAGCAAAAGCAGAAGCCAACAATGATAAAAATAATTTTGTCCTGAAATGATTACATTTAAGTTATATCATAAACCTCAGACTCACATCTCACCATTCTCTGGCTCTTCCTCCTCCATGGGGCAGATAGACACACACACACACACACACACACACACACACCTCATTTACAAAACTGATTTTGTTGTTGTTGTTATAGGGCATATATACCTACCAGAGGGAAAGTGAGAAATCACCCCCTGGGGGGATGGCCACACCACAATTCCTTCTTTTTCACTGTCCTATCAGGATTTTAGGCTCACACATGGCATGCTATTCTTTCTCTTTCTCTCTCTTTTTTTTGGGGGGGTGTGGGGTGGGGGGGAGAGGTTTTTGCTATATGGCGCATGTGCTTACCAGAAAGAGAGAGACAAAAAGATAGAAAGCAAGAAATCAGCCCCCCCACCCCAGGGGATGGCCACACCACAATCCGTTTTCCTCCATTCTCCTCTCGGGATCTTGGGCATTCACATATGCCCAGCATGAGTTTAAGCCACCAGGTCTGGGATGCAAGCTGCGGTCAACTACATGGGAGTTCAGTGACATAGCTATTATGCCAACTGCTGGTTCCCACATAGCATGATTTTCAAACTGCCAGGTCTGGGACTTGAATCAAGCTATGTGAGACCCAACTACTTAAACTCCAGCTACTTGCTTGCTTAGAACTGATGTTTTTTTTTTTTTAATTATTACTTATTTACATTTAATCATCTGATGCTTTTTAAGCCTTCTGTAATCACACAATCATCTCCTCAGGGATTTGGTCCATGTTAACAGGGACTTTAAAAGTTTCCTTTTTTAAACTTGATCAGAGACTTGAGGGTAGGAGCAGAGAAGAAGTGATTTTATAGACATGTTAATATTGTTAATCCTGCACTTGACTTTGCATACAGCACTTTAATGTGACTTTCTTATCACATCGCATCTATACACCTCGGTAACCCTCATAGCAAATGGGGTAAGGGCATGGGGCCTATGGAACCAAAGCAAAGAAAATGTCAGAGCTGAAGACAAAACTAGACTTGCTTTTACTTGGGGGCTAAAGAACATTCCCAAACATAATTCTTCTCAGAATTAGAAAATCCCCACTGAATTTTATGTTGTTCTATCTCTAAGTGTCTAGACATTCTAGTTTGGTAATAACTTTGTAAACTACTGAGTGATGTCCTAAAAGAATCTTCATAAGCTACAGGTAGGCTAGGTGATGCCCACCACCAGGCCTTCATAGTTATGTTCTTGGAAGGGCAGTAATCTGTGGGCTCCTTCAGAGGACACCTCGACCAGGGTGGGAGTGAGAGTAAGGATGGAGTGCTGGGATAGGGGATAGAAGAGAGTAAGGGGTATGGGCATGGCCAGTGGGAGGTAAGTTTAAGTGGAAAGTAGGGGAAAGATGACAGTTCAGAATTCTTTACCATCCTTCTCAATTCTCACCCTTGATGGGTATCTACAGTATAGGCTAGGGTAGTTAAAAATGTATCAAAAAGAGGGAGAAAGGAAGCAAGGGAGACATGACACAAGTGCTCCAGAATGGTCAGGATGTGACAATACAGTTTTTGTTTTGTTTTGGTTTGGTTTTTTTTGAGAGGTTTTCGCTATAGGGAGCGTGCGCTCACCAGACAGAGAGAGACATAGAGACAGAAAGTGAGAAATCACCCCCCAGGGGGGATGGCCATGCCGCAATCCCTTCTCCTCCATTCTCCTCTCGGGATCTTGGGCATGCATGCACATGTGCCCGGTGTGAGTTCTAAGCCACCGGGCCTGGGACATGAACCGCGGTCGACTACGTGGGAGTCCAGCGACATAGCCATTACGCTAACTGCTGCTTCCCAACAATACAGTTTTTCTTTTCACTCTATCTACCTCACAGAAAGACCTTTTGGAAGAGTTGTCTGCATACACACTCTACTTCCCCATCTCCTACTCTCTCCTCAGTCAACTGATATTGGGCTTCTGTCCTATTCAACTGCAATGAGGTACCTCCCCACTCCTACCCTCAAAACTTTGGTTAGTTTAAAAAAAAAAAAAAATTCAAATTTTAGTCCATATTAAAATACACCAAATCCCTAAAGAGATGACTGTGTGACTACAGAAGATTTAAAAGGCATCAATTCTGTAAAAGAGGTAGGTGCATGTCCCCATCTGTCCACTCCCACGGAGGAGGAATAGTCAGAGTGGTGAGATATGAGGCTTAAGGTACAACTTACTCATAATCAATTCATTTTAGAGCAAAGCGTCACTGTCAGCTTCTGCTTTCCTTCAACTTCTAAGTCAGGTAAAGGCAGCAGAAACTAATGCAATCGACTGAATCTGTTGTCAAGCATGATAGACCTCCATGTCATTAAATCCAATGGCCTTGGTTTAGCTACTTTTCTAGTCAGCTGCTAACCTGTCTAGTCTTTCTTGAAACACTCCCCTCATTTGGCTTCCCTGACACCACATCCTCCTAGTGACCCTACTACTTCTCTAGCAGCTTTTCCTGAGAGAAGCTGTTGCTGTCTCCTCCTCTATCCACCCTCTAAAATCTGTTCCTCTCTCTGGTCATTCTACCATTCTCCCTGAGTGATATCATCTACTCCCCTGGCTTTCAATATCATCTATATGCTTTTAACTACCAAATTTGTATTTTTAGTCTAGAACCCTCCCTCCAGCCTTTTCACTCAGATGACTCCCAGATATCTCACTCAAAATCTGAGCATAGTCCCACTCCTCACAAAATCATGCAGTCTTCTCCATCTTAATAATTGCCATTACTCTTCATTAGACAACCAACTCAGAAATCTAACAGTCTTCTTTGCTTTTTTTTCATTTTCTTTATCTCACTCCACATCTACTTAATCGGCAAGACCACTGGATCCGTCTCTGTGATAGACACATAGAAGCCATGCCTTTTTATCCATCCGTGCTACCAATTTCCTTACCCAAACTACCATCATCTCTCACCTGTAATAGCCTTATCGGTCACTCTGCTTCTATTCTTCCCCAACCCTACAGGCTTATTTTCTACATATCAGCCAGAGTGATTTTTTAAAATATTAACTGAATCATGTCCCTCTCTTATTAAAATCCTTCAAAGGTTACCTCTAAGCAATGTTGGCAAGTCTCTACATGATCCTCCCCTGCCCACTCTTCAGTCTTATTAACTGTACTCTTGTTTTGACTCAATATCCTTGAGCCACATGGCCCTTATATTTGCTATAACCTCTATCACTTTTTTCCATTGCAGGGCCCTACTAAGACTGCTTTACTCTCCTCCCTCCATTTCAACTCCTGTAATCCATGGCAAGGCTGGCTTCATTTTCATAATAAAACCATTTCCTCAGGCCTTCTCTGGCCACACTAACTCAAATATAACCCCCTTAATTCTCCTTAGAACCAGAAAGCACTATATATTTCCTTTATATCACCATGACACTATCACATTTTACAATGATCATGTTTGTTTTCTTAACTACATATTACCTGTCTTACCCTGCGTTTGGGGTACAAATTCGTATGTGTAGTCCAGCACAAATTAGACAATCCATATTGCCTAGTAAGTAAATAAATGATTACCTTTAAGATAGTTGTCATGAAGACTGAGCAGCCCATCAGCACAAAGATCATAAGGCCAGTCACTCTCTGTTCTCGAATGCCTAAGAACTTGGGCTGTTCTCCAGGAGCAGAGCACTCAGATTCCAGCTTGAGGCTATTCACATGTGTTATGGAGAGGACAGTGGCAGGGACAAACCAGGGCAGGCCCATGATGGAGCATACACCCAGCATGATGGCTACCATTAGTAGGTCCAGGTGGTAGCCACAGCCTTTCTGGAGGGAAATAGAGTCTGTATCACCATCAGTGAGATGGCCATACTGGGGTACAGAGCAGTGAACTAAGGGTCTCAGGCCCAAAGCAAGAAAGGGTATAAGGGTATGGAGGGAGGAGTCCTGGGATCCCAGAGGAGTTCTGCAGCCCCTCCTGGTTAGAAGGGAACAAAGAAGAAAAATGGAAATCTTAGCCTGTCCTATACATGCCAATATCCATTACTTTTTTTTTTTTTTTTTTGAGAGGATGCCTGAACTCGCCAGAAAGACAGAGAGAGACAGAAAGCTAGAAATCACCCCTCCCAGGGGGGATGGTCACACCGCAATCCCTTCTTCTCCATTCTCCTCTCGGGATCTTGGGCATGCACGCACACACGTCTGGCGTGAGTTTAAGCCACCAGGTCCGGGACTGAAACTGTGGTCGACATAGGGAATCCAGTAACATAGCCATTACGCTAACTCCTGGTCCCCCAATATCCATTCTTTATCCAATTGCTCCCAGCTTACTCTGAGCCTCACATATTCAAAGATCCATCCTTCCCTTGAAGAGTAACCAGAGAACAAGCCATTCTAGATGGTGACACTACGAGATGTGGAAATGAATGTCCTTATTACATTTCTACAATACATCCCAAGATCTTTGTCAGATCTGAATGTTGCCTATTCTGAGGAAGGAAAGAATAAAGTTGAAAGCATGCTGCATCTCACTAATAGATGTATTAGAACAATCCCTAACTCTCTAGGCTATGGGCTCAAGATTCAGTCTGGAAACCCTCATAAACGATACCAATGGGAGAATACCTCTCTGTAAGAATCAGTGGTTCAGCTCAAGCCCTGACCTGAACCTCAGGAAGACAAGCTATGGCTGCCTGATACAGAACAGGTAGCTAGCTCTATAGGAACCACCAGGAACTCTGTCCATCCACCTTCCCCACAGGTTTGAGAGGGGAGTAATGGATGCTGCTTACACATCATACCAGAGTGGACCATATTCTAGTCTGGTCTCATCTCCAAACCAATCTTTGTTATTAATGGAGGGAATGGAAACCTCCTAGCAACCTATGATTGTTTATATATAAGTTTTACAGTTCTTGGTCTGGATAGGCTTACCCTAAAATTTAAAGAGACAAATAAGCAAACAAAACAAACAAACAGGAAAACAAGTTGTCATAGCAGTCTTCTAGATAAGAACCTCTTATTACCTTGAGCTTATGTTCCTTCCTATTAATGATGACAGCTGTAATCTGCTGGTCCATGAATATTAAGATAGTGCAGAGAAGAGCTGGGATAATCGCAGCTATCACAGTCCACCAGGGATTAGGGCCAATGGGATTGATAAGCCATCCTCGATCATCCCTTGTTGGCTAAGGAAAAAAACAAAAACAAAAACAAAAGCAAGACATTGTTTTTGTATTTTAAGTTAACCATAGTTATTAGGGCAAAATAGATCAAACTGAATCACAATATCCACATTTCTTTTTATTCTTAAATGAGAATTCTTTCTAAAAATAGGTGTGCAATATAGTAACTCCTTAGAAACATATGACCTTGTTCTAAATCCCCTTTGAAACAGTCCATCCTCAATTATCAATTCCTGTAAATATGCATTAATACAACCCTTCCACTCATTCCCCAAATCCCTATGTACAGAAAAAGCAACTTCATCTCAACATTAGCCCAAGTAAAATATAATTAACCACTCAATCTGTTGTCAAAAAAACTTAATGACTTCCAAAGATTATATAAACAATCCAGACTATACTCCTCAAGACTCCTCTCCTAGAAGCTGTTTAACATGTGTGTACAGTACAAATAAAGGCAAAGTGGAACCAGTTACATAGAATCTCTTGGGCTTAAAATGAATTGCTCTAAGGGCCCTCTCCCATCAACAGGCAAACAGAGGCCCAGGCACCAGACACTTGAGAAGGAGCTCAAGACGGCTAAACTGAGGGACTCATTTGACCTAGGATCCTCTCTAATACTTCTGAAAGAACTGTTCATAAATTATACTGGAGGTATCTCCTAGATACTCAAATTCTCTCTGCCAAGTGTACTCTGGGTAAAAGAAGCTCACTTGTTTTGGCAAGTGCTACTGAAGGATAAAAATCCAGGGATATTAATTAGCCCAGAATTGACCCAGGCTCAATGAACAAAACAAAAACTATCATATCTGAAGCATTTAGTTCTATGTTAGTCATGACTAGGATTCAAGGACTCTTCAAGAATATCACCAAGTCCCGGGACCAGCAGTTAGCGTAATGGCTATGTCGCTGGATTCCCACGTAGTTGACCGTGGTTTGAGTCCCCAACCCGGTGGCTTAAACTCACGCCGGGCATGTGTGCGTGTGTGTGTGCACAAGATCCTGAGAGGAGAATGGAGAAGGGATTGCGGTGTGGCCATCCCCCTGGGGGGTGATTTCTCTCTTTCTGTCTTTCTGTCTCTCTCTTTCAGGCAAGCACACGCGCCCTATAGCAAAAACCTCTCCCCCCCCCCAAAAAAAGAATATCACCAAGTCCCACATTATGAATGAGTTTGATTCTAAAAGTTTACAGAATTCTATTTCCTAGTAACAATGTTCTAAATATTAATTATCAGATCAACACAGAAGCTTATTAAACCCTTAGTGACAAAACAACCCTTATAATCATACTAGTCTTCAGAATGGTCTTGGGAACTGGGGGCCATGTGGTATCATAGGGAAGGAAAAAAGGAACTTTGTTTCCTGAATGTGGAGCCTGCCACAAGCAATATTTTCTTTGATATTCTCCTATTACCTTTTCTTATCTCTCTCCTACCTCCCAGAGGCATTCTTCCCAGATATCCCAGAAATTCAGTACCTTCTGAGTATCTTAAGCCTACCCATCAGGGAACCTGTCCAAGGATTGCTTAACGCTCCCAAATTACCTATTTTTATACAAAATCTATTCAGCCCGAAAGGCTGACCTCAGCTGGATTAGAAAGAAAGCCGATTGCGCTCATTCACATAAAAGTAGGAATGCCATATTCTAGGAGGTATTAGTCATATAAGAGGATGCTTGTTAATCCACAAATTTCTAACTGATGACATTTCAGCCCATTTAATAAAATTTATAATTTCAGGCAATATGGAAAAAGGTATTTTTAACCAGGGAGAGAGAGAGAGAGAAAAGAAAAGAAAAAGAGGAGACATAGGCCCACTGTATGGGACATGCACAACTCAGGGTCTATCTTTATTCCTCTCTGTCTTTTCCCTGCCAACCTTTCCCACCTTATTTTTTTATTCTTCTTAAGTCACTGAGAATGCCTATGTTTTCTCTCCTCTGCACCTTATGGGAATCTATGGAAATAAGTTAAGCTACTCCATCTTCTTTGTTTACTCAACACCCCCAAACTGAAATATATTTTGAGTCCCCATGTATTGATCATTTGTTTTACTTTTTGTATATGAATGAAATAGGGCTGAAAAGATGTTATGGTTCTACTGGCAGAGGCCCTAGCTTCCAGGTAAGGTTCCCCCTTAGTTCCATTCCTCCCCTACTCAGTCGGATCTTGGCGAGGGGTGGGGGAGAGTCCTGTACCCTTTTCATCCTTCTCACTGCCCTTGTACAGCTGATGTGCAATGAAAATGCTGTGACCCAGACTTATTCCAGAGACCCACATGTTCACACTATCTGGTGTATATATATATATATATATATACACATACATATATATATATATACATAAATGTGCACATTCCATTCATTCCATTGTTTTAAATTTTAACAGATTAAAAACAGTAAGTTGTGGAACCAGGAGATGGCGTAATGGCTACATTGCTGGACTCCCATGTAGTCGACCATGGTTTGAGTCCCGGACCCAGTGGCTTAAACTCATGCCGGGTGCGTGTGCATGTGTGCTCAAGATCCCAAGATGAGAATGGAGGTGAAGGGATTGCGGCGTGGCCATCCCTCCTGGGGGGGGGGGGGATTTCTCACTCTCTCCATCTCTTTCTGTCTCTCTGGTGAGTATATGTGTCCTACAGCAAAACTTCTCAAAAAAAACCCCAAAACAAATAAATTGTATTAATGATAACAGATACTATTTATTGATATAGTTATATAATTTACTTTTTCTGTTCTATTTTTTTTTTTGCTTGAATTTGACTAAACCTGAAGAGTTTTTTTTTTTCTTTTAAGAGAGATTTTTCTATGGAGAGGCATTGTATGTCCCTACTTAATATATACTGAGTGTCCGCACTCTATGACTGACAGTGATTGACTAAAGGATATAGAAAAACAGTAAACGGATATAAATACAGATATAGTGTGTGTGAAAGAGTAGGATTTGAGGAAGAACAATTAGAAGAAAAATGGGGAAGAAAAGCATTAGTGGGACAAAGAAACGGGCCAATTTCTGTTAAAGATATTTTATAGTTTAGGGACCAGCATTTAGTGTAATGGCTATGTCGCTGGACTCCCACATAGTCGACCGTGGTTCAAGTCCTGGACCCGGTGGCTTAAACTCACGCCAGGCGTGTGTGCGTGCATGCCCAAGATCCCAAGAGGAGAGTGGAGGAGAAGGGATTGCGGCGTGCCCATCCACCCTGGGGGCGGGGTGTGATTCCTCGTTTTCTATCTCTCTGTCTCTCTCTGTCTGGTGAGCGCACGCGCCCTATAGCAAAAAAGTCTCAAAAAAAAAAAAAAAGATATATTATGGTTTAGTCAACTGGACTAGGGAGAAATGTTCACATGTTAAAATATTCACATTGTAAGCTAAATAATGTGATTGACTGTATAAAAAAATGACATTTTAAAAAATTATCAGCAAATAAAATAATAAATAATAAAATTTTTAAAAATTTAAGCTTACTTTTGGAAAAAAAAGAGAGATTTTTGTTGTAGGACACATGTGCTCGCTAGAGAATCAGAAAGAGACAGACAGACAGAAAGCGAGAAATCACCCCCCCCCCCAAGGGGGATGGCCATGCTGCAACCCCTTCTTCTCCATTCTCCTCTTGGGATTTTGGGCAAGCATACACACATGCCCAGTGTGAATTTGAAGTCACCAAATTGGGGATTTGAACTGTGGTTGGCCATGTGGGAGTCCAGCAACATAACCATTACACCATCTGCTGGTCCCTGAGTTTGCTTTTCTGAATAGTAAAGCATAAGAAACAAAATTTAGATGTAGAGAACTACAAAACTCATCTTATGATTAGGATACGGAAAAGTCTTTGATGTTGACGTGAGATCAAATTCTATGAAATTACAGCAGGACACTATGCATTCTGAGTTCTATTTACCTTGAACACACTAGGAACTTGAAGCTTTGGTGATGGGACCCCAATCAAAAAATCAACAATCACCATTGTGAAGATAGTGAGGAAAACAGCAAAGTCACTCACCATGGAGCGTACCTGGCATGAGAAAGAATTAAATAAGTATATTAATAAGATAAATGCATTTAAAAAATAATTTAGTATTATAAAAGGTTTATAATCGTCAGAAGTATGCTTTCATTTTATAGCTGAATAAAACATATTTAAACAATGGGAATATATTAATACATCCAAATTCATGCCCAGAAAGTATGAATATGATTTGGGAATGATCCCTCTGACAAATCCTGTCATAGCCCAGCTCAGGTTTTGAAGAATTCTGTTTGAGACAGTCAGGCCCAGGTTTAAGCTCTAGTTCTAAGAATTTAAAAGTGAGATTTTCTGGGACCAGTCAAAGATCATGGTGCTTACCAAAAATCTTGGTTGCAGCAACTCTGCCTTTCCCTCCTACCCAATATCCAATCCATCTGCAAGTCTACTTCAGAACATATGCAGAATCTGAGCACTTCTCAACACTTGCACTTCTCTTACCCAGATCAAAATCAGCTCTTCTTTGAGTAACTACAGCAGCCTCCTAACTTACTCCTACCTTTGGGCCTTCTACAGTTTTCTTCAAACACAGCTCCCTAACTAATAATGTAAAACATTATGATCGCATCATTCCTCTACCAAAGCCCTGAAACTATTCCTCACTTTACTAGGTTAAAAACTCCTAAGGCCTTCCTGGCTTAGAAGGCTCACATGGCCTGTGACTAGTATTGTCACCTCTCCAATCCTGGGTCCTATCTCTCTCCTGCTCAATTACTCTGCTCCAACCACACAGACATTTTTGCTGTTTCTTAAACATGCTGGGTTCCCTCCCACCTCAGCATCTTTGTATTTGCTCATCCTTCTACCTGAAATGCTTTTCCTCCAGGTAACCTCTTGAGTAGTTTTCTCACCTCCTTTAGGTTCACTCAGCTATCACTTCTCCATGAAATTTTCTCTGATGATCCCACCTAAAATTATCTACTCTCCACCCCAGCACTTCCTATACTCCTTTCCTGCTTTATTTTTGTCATAGCACTTATCTCAGTTTTACTAGTATTCACATCCAATTTAAGAGCTGTCCTAAGAAGGCTCTCCCACTTTTACAGTTTAGTGCAGCTTTAATAGAATAAAATGCGTATCAAGTGGTCTTTGCCTGCCACAATTTGAACTTCTAATGGAGAAGAGCAAAATATGCCTTAGCCACATGTAACATCACGAGTAAGTACCTCATGAATGTGTTTTAGTCATTTGTGCACAGTTAATAGCTATTCAACTCAGTCTCTCACCCGTTCATGTACCCTATTCTGCAAATATGCCTGACTGAAACCTTACAGAAGATGACCATTTCCTCCCACGTTTGCTTTGCTTTGAAGTCCAAGGTTCCCAGTTTCCTGCCCATGGTTTCATTAGTCCTTCTCTGAATGGCTTAACAATTCTTTCAATAGCCAGGCCTCCCTGCATTCTACATGAAGCCTCTCTTGACCATCCTGGGGCCAAATGGCCCTTCTGTTCTCCGAACTCCTATGACAGGTACATCCCAGGATGGCATCCAACTGTTTATGGCTATTGCATTTGGCACCTGATTGTTTCATGTGTTTCCCCTTCCAATCTGGCGGTAGATACTATCTTTTGAACCATGCTGGTATCTCCCATGGCACTTAATCCAGGCTTGAGCAAGTAGTCAGTATTCAATAGCTACTTGTTAACTCTTTGTCCAAACAGGAAACAAAGACCCAGAACTTATTTAATATGTGTCTCCTTTACTACTGTATAGGCTCACTGAAGTCTAAGAATGTGTTTTAGTCATTTGTGTACAGTTAATATCTAATCACTGAGCCTCTCTCCTATTCATGTACCCTGCTCTGCAAATGTCCCTGATTAAAACCTCCCAGAAAAATCACTATTTCCTCCTGATTAGAACTCTCTTTCAAAGCAATGGCCCATTTAGTTACTCCATACCCAGCCTCTAACCTGCTCATGGTACAAGCAATTGCTATCTGTGTCACCAAAAGGTTACTGAGGCTTAAAACAGTTGTGCAAACCAAGTCAAGAGCATGCTGGCTGCTGAGGTCAATGTGGCCTGTCATTGCATAAGCTACTAGAAGAGCCATCCTTGGGAAGAGACTTTGGGGTACCCTAAAGTATCCAAGATGATCATCCCATTTACCATATGTAGGAGCCACCTCTAGCTATTATATGCTAAGTGTCCCAGAATTCTGGAAATGAGACTTAACAGAATTCTGAAGATGAGACTTGTAGACTTTTAGAGAACACTGCTACTACCTTAAACTTACCTGGTATTTTTAAATAAAAAGAAATTTAAGTATTAACCCCTCATTCCACACCATAGGTCTGTGAAAGACAGTGCCAGATGATAGAAGAAAATGTCACAGGGTGACTCATCAGGACACCTGGAGCTCTCCACCCCGCCAATCTAGTCCACAAACAACATGGAAGCTGAGAACAAGTTCTGTCATATATCAATCCATTCAAATTCTAACATAAGAGAAGTGTCTGAGCATGCTACCTACTCTGGTTGGGAAATAACGGCTTGTCTTAAATGTCTTTAAGGTGCTTGAGAGGATGAAGGTAGTGAAGAAGAGAATACAGGACCAAAAGAGCACATCAGGAGTGTAGGGTCCATGATGACCACATGCGGATCCCATAAACTCTCCATGCATCTCCTGGCATTCCTAGAGGAACAAGCATTTCAGGTGACAAAAAGCAGGCAAAAGGAAATAAAAAGCTGCTGCCCTCTGGGTCCACCATTCACTGTCATCCCACAACTGCTGGGAAGAATAGGCCGCCAGCTATATCCATGCAACCTCCATGTCATCGCAGATTTCTGTAGGTTCCTCACCTACACAGGTCCCTTTCAAGTGATCATTTTGGCCCTAAGACACTGCTATGAAATACAAACTGTCAGGAACAAACATTACTTCCAAGGTGCTGGGAAGACCCTAGGAATTTATTTTTTTATTATTATTGTTATTGTTATTAATACAGAAGACCTCCAAACTTGAATATTCTTCAAGTTCCACAAAGCCTGGATCAACTCCTGCTGGGCCTGGTTTCATCCCCAAATATTCTCAGTGCAGAGTTACTGGAAAGGGTGCACCTGGGAGAAAATAGAAGGTTAACCTTTTTTTCCCTTTATGTACAAGAGAACTTCTGAAAGGGAAAAAGAAAATCGGTAAGAATAATATTTTAGGCCCAGCTTCTATGGTAGAGTCAGAAGCATACTTCCAGAACTGCAGTGCTGAAAGCCACATGGCCAACTATGGGTTCAGATCCCCAGCCAGGTTGACCTGGAATATGCTGCGTGTGCACACACAGGCTAAAGATCATGATGAGTTTAGGGCCTGGGGGAAGGGAATCATGGAGTGACCACACCCTATTAAGGGTACTTTCTCTCTCCTCCCCACCCCCACCCCCGCTTTCTCATACAAGTACATATGTTCTCTATTATATTTTTTAATTTAAAAAAATAATAGTTTTTAGAAAAGCTTTATTTCTGTAAGTGCCAGAGTTTGCCAAAGGGCTCTTCTGCTTCCACCTAGGAATCCCTCTTAAACTTCATGGTCACAATGCTAGGGCATTGGCAGCTCCCAGACTTACACTGACAGTCAGGTTAGCCCAGTGGACTTCTGTTGCCACGATGTTGTGGTCCTTCCAGTACTGTAGAGTGTGATTGTTTGGATTCTCTGGGACAGTACACCTGCAGCTGAGAGGAAAAGACAAAAAGATTCCTAAGGAAAGACAACAAATATTCAACGAAATGTTTTTAGCCATCACTGGGTTAAAGGCTCTTCAGAACCTGCCCTATTTCTCCTTTGCATACTTCAGAGCTCTTAAGCTCTATGGGTTGAGGGCAATCTATAGGCACGACCACACTCCATTTTTCAGTCAGTAAAATCAGCATGTGATCTTGGAGTCAATTGTTCTGACAACCACGCTTTGCATATGATGTGCTCCAAATAAGTCCTCATGATTTCCATAGTCAATCTATATAGGAAGGAGCTCCTATTATCTCATTCAGTCCTCAACAACTTCTTCCAAGTCTGGATATCTTACTCCTTATACCCCTATCAAGCTCTTGTTCTGAACATTGAAATCTTTTGGGATTGTGATGCAAGCTTTTCTTGACTCTGTATTATACTTAGTAATATCCTACAACCTTGGCCATGTCCAGGCTACTTATACTGGAGCCAGTGCTGACTGCTCCATTAGCTTCCCCAGGCCTCTTTTCCATCCACACCATACTAGACCATTCTGAACCTGGTAACCAACTGCTTACCATGTAGCATCCCAGTCCCAATATGCTTCACATATGACTGGCTCCCACTGTGGCCAACTGACATAGCCATCTCCACCAACTTAGTTTCATCTATGAATTTAATAAGCATACATTCTAAGATATAGCAAGACAGAATTAAAATTCAAAAAGATCTCAGCAGGTTGCAATAATAAGAGTAAACCAACAAAATAAAAATCGAGAGAGGCCAGCAGGTGGTGTGGTGGTTAAGGTGCTGGATTCCCACATGGGTGACTGATGTTTACGTCCTGGAACTGGCAGTTTGCCTTCTCACTCTCTCTCTCTTTCTCTCTCTGGTGAGCATACATGCCTATAGCAAAACTTAAATAATAATAATAATAGAAAAAATTAAATACTTTTTAAAAAGAAGAAAAAATCAAAAGTAATAGGGAAAGCTATAATCCCTATATTCAGGTCTAAAAAATTAATTCCAGGGACAAGCGGATAGTGTAATGGTTACATCACTGGATTCCCACATAGTAAACTATGGTTTGAGTCCTGGACCTGGCAGCTTAAATTCATGCCAGGCATGTGTACATGCGTACCCAAAATTCCAAGACTGGAGGAGAAGAGATTTTAGTGTGGTCATCCCCCCGGTTGGGTGATTTCTTGCTTTCTGTCTCTCTGTCTCTCCAGGGAGCATAAATGCCCTATAGCAAAAATCTCTCTTAAAAAAGTAAATTCTGGTGGGGGACTAGCAGTTAGTGTAATGGCTATGTCACTGGACTCCCACGTAGTCAACCACGGTTCGAGTCCCAGACCCGGTGGCTTAAACGCACGCTGGGTGCATGTGCGTGTGTGCCCATGATCCTGAGAGGAGAATGGAGGAGAAGGGATTGTGGCGTGGCCATCTCCCCGGGGGGGTGATTTCTTGCTTTCTGTCTCTCTGTCTCTCTCTGTCTGTCTGGCGAGCGCACGCGCCCTGTAGCAAAAACCTCTCCCAAAAAAGAAAAAGAAAATTAATTCTGGGACCAGCAGATGGCATAATGGCTCATTACTGGACTCCCATGTAGTCGACTGTGGTTCAAGTCCTAGACCCAGTGGCTTAAACTCATGCCAGGCACGTATGTGTGCATACCCAAGATCCCAAGAATAGAATGGAAGAAAAGAGATTGCAGCGTGGCCATCCCTCCTATGAGGCAATTTCTCGCATTCTGTCTCTCAGTCTTTCTCTGTCTTTCTGGGAGCGCACACACCCTATAGCAAAAACCTCTTCCAAAAAAAAACCAAAAATCAATTCCAGATTTGAAAGCAACCAAGATGTCCTCCAATAAGTGAATGGATGGATAAGCTATGATACATCCAGACAGTAGAGTATTATTCAGCACTAAAAAGAAACAAGCTATCCAACCACAAAAAGACATGGAAGACCTTTAACTGCATATTACTAAATGAAAGAAGCCAATCTGAAAAGGCTATGTATTGTATAATTCCATCTATATGACATTCCAGAAAAGTAAAAACTACAGAGACAGTCAAAAGATAAGTGGGTTTCTTTTCTTGGGGGGAGGAGGTGGAACAAGGATGAATAAGTAGAAAGCAGAGAATTTTTAGGGAAGTAAAACTATTCTGTAAGATACTATAATAGTAAATATGTCACTACACATTTGTCAAAATCTATAGAATATACACCAAGAGTCAACCCTAATATAAACTGTAGACTTGGTGCTTATGATGCATCAGTGTGGGTTTACTGACTGTAATAAATGTATCACTCCGGTATAGGACAATGGGAGATGCTGTGTGATTGTTGCAGGGAGGTGGGGAGACAGGGAATATGTGGGAACTCTGTACTTTCTGCTCAACTTTGCTATTAACCTAAAATTGCCATAAAACATATTGTCTAATTTTTAAAACATGAATCCCATGCATATTAACCTAAAATCATTTACAGTGTTAGGGAGTTAAGCTCCATATGAATGAACAGTGGAATGCAACAAAGAAAAATATCTTTAGACTTATTAAGAAAGATCTACAGTGGGACCAGCAGTTAGCATAATGGCTGTGTCACTGGACTCTCATAGTCGACCGTGGTTCGCGTCCTGGACCCGGTGGCTTAAACTCAACGCTGGGCACATGTGCGTGTGTGCCCAGGATCCTGAGAGGAGAATAGAGGAGAAGGGATTGTGGTGTGGCCATCTCCCCTGCGGGGTGATTTCTCGCTTTCTGTCTCTCTGTCTCTCTCTGTCTTTGTGGCAAGTACATGCGCCCTATAGCAAAAACCACTCAAAAAAAAAAAGAGAAGTCAAAAAATGAATCTTACAGAAATAACTCCACCAGTAAGTCCCAATTCACTAAACTTTTAGGAGTATTCCCTCTAATTGTTTTTACTCTGTAATAAAATCTTAAAAATTAAAATAAATGTCTTTGTTCATCTGCGTTTTAGAAGGTTAGATAAATGGATTATGAGATGAGGTAAAAGTGCACTGTGGCTGGTTGGCAGATGCCTCCACACAGCATGCTCTCTTCTCAGTTTTAGGCAGAACTTCACTTCACAACAAGATCCTTCACAGCAGAACTGTACAGCCAGAGGGAAGGACCTGATGTACAGAGCTAAATGAGAAGGCTCTTTAGTCACAATTCGGAGAGGAACATACCAGAGAAGAAATGATTTATAGGACCGGACTCTCCTAGATGGTTGAGAACATAGCCAGATATTGCATTTCTTTTCCAGCTGATAGAAACTATGTCGAACACATGAAGAAAACACTGTCCTTAGACGTGAAATCTAGGAAGTACATAGGTTTCTAGATCTTTATGATACAGTGTAAGATAGTTCTGGACGTGAAGGGAATTATTAATACAGCTTTACCTAATGATTCAGTTGTTAATACATCTCTACCCAATGATACAGTTGCCTGTATATACTTGGAGAGAAAAAAGGTCTACTATCTCGCTTGATAACATAGTCCACAAGGCTTATGAGTCCTGGCCAAAATAAATTTTTCCCACTAACTAACTCGAATTCTCTCTGCTACATTTGCAGTCTATTTTCTATTTCAATGCCTAGAAGCAGAAGATCAGCCTGGAAATCATTTCTCAAGTCCCCTCTGGGTTTCACTTTTAGTCCATTCTCTCTGTCATCACTTTTGATTGTTCTCTTCTGGCAGCCCTCCAAGCCTCTGCATCCATTTCTGATCACTGTATCCCAGAGGGCCAAGACACTTCCTTAACAGAGCTATAAGCACTGCAGGGCACACTACATCAGTCATTAAACTCAATCCCTGTGCTCAATTAAGAAAGAAAGAAAGATAAGCAGAAAGTACTTACTAATAGAGACTAAGGTGGTCCAGCTGGCTGTGCATGTGGATGGGGTAGGTCTCTGCCAGGTGAATCAGCTTTTCTATTGCTTCATAGATGAAAATTATGCAAATCAAGGAGGCAAATGCTTCTTCAGTAAAGCGGGTAATATAGCAGACCAGGGAACTGGCATCAGTTGCCACAAGGACAATACACAGAAAGGCGGTCCACAGCCCAATACAAGCTCGCAAGGAGAGGTATGAAAGAGCGTAGTCTCTGAAACAAGACCAAAGTTCATCTAGAAACATGGATAGGTGGTATTACACGACAAAGGGAAATTTGATTAATTCATTCTCATATTATCTATACCTGTGTTGCAACCCAGTTTTTCCTGACTCTGATTTGTACTTCATTCCTAAATAATAATCTAGAACATAAAGATTTTCTTCCTGGCTGTTATTTGTCATAGCAATGATATAATCAAGTGGAGAAGGAAAGAGTTGTCTCTACATAACATTTCTGCCATCACGGCCCAATGTTATTAAGATCTTAGTTTTACAGTAAGAAAAGAGGGCTGCAGGCCAGTCAGTGGCATGGGGGTTAAGGTGGGTAAATCCCACATGGTTAACTGTTCAATTCAAGTCCCAGATCTGGCAACCTGAGAAACACACCAGACACATGTGCGTACATGCCAAAAATCCCAAAAGGATAATGGAGAAGGGACTGTGACGTAGTCATCCCCCTGAGGGGATTCTCTTTCTCTTTCTTGTTTCAATTCTTCCTTTCTCTCTGTCTCCCTCCCTCTCTCGCTCTCTCTCTGATGGGTACATGCACCCTATAGCAAATTAAAAAATAAAAAGAGGGACCAGCAATTAGCATAATGGCTATGTTGCTGGACTCCCATGTAGTCTACTGTGGTTTGAGTCCCAGACCTGGTGGTTTAAACTCAAGCCGGATGCGTGTGTGTGCATGCCCAAGATCCTGAGAGGAGAATGAAGGAGAAGGGATTTCAGCGTGGCCATCCCCCCTGGGGGTGATTTGTCACTTTCTGTCTCTCTGTCTCTCTCTGTCTTTCTGGTGAGTGCATGTGCCCTATAGCAAAAACCTCTAAAAAAAAAGAATGAAAAAAAAAGGAGGGCTGGCTTTAATTTCCTGTCCTTCTACTTGTATTACAAAATAAAAAACAAAGATTTTTACAGGAAAAGTAGGGAAACTGGGGCATTGCTAAGTTCCCACTACCACCAGCAACCAGAATATGAAGAGAGGATATTAGGCTAAATTAAAAATTGATCTGAAATGGCCCAGCCATGGTGGCACAGAAGACAGTATGACAAACTATAGTGCTAGAAGCCACAAAGTGACCGGTGATTGTGTTTTGAATCCCCGGCCTATCTGGCCTGAAACATGTAGGGTACATGCACGAATGCCCAAAACCTGATGAGCTGAAAGGCTGGAGAAAGATCGTGGCATGGTCAGATGCTGTGGAGGTCTCTTCTCTCCCCAGCTCTTTCTCTTATATGTATACACATGTGCTTTATCATGAATAAACAAAAAAGTTTTAATTAACTTAAAATTGAAATGGAGAAGATTGAATTAGCTGGAAAAATCTGTTTTAAACAGATTTCAATAATGACTTAGGGACATTAATCAAGCTCTTTAAGATCAGGAGATCTGCTATTTTAGGTAGGGTGCTACCTGGGAGCAGAATAAATCATATGAAGTTCTTCCTTCAGGTTTCTTACAATCCAGAATGACATTTGCCTGCTTATATTCAATGTAGGATGTAGTATTCAACTGTGGCAGCACAATAACCACCTCCAGTTAGAGTTTTCAGAAAAACAAATATCTTACTTGCAGAATTTGAACAAAATCTTTTCAAACACAAGCACTGGCCCCGTACTTCCCAGGATGGTGAGAGCCTGTCCCGCAAATAAGGAGTAGGCGATCCCAGTCATGGAGGCTCCGAACAAGGATTCAATTGCACTCTAAGGGGAGAAAACAGTCATCACTGAGTCCGCAACCCATGAGTAAAGAGTACTGTTGGCTTATGTATATCCCTGACTTAGCTCTCATGTGTGCCTTGACAGTCATTTGCTTGTATTTCATCTTAGCAAGGGTGATGTGTACATACTGTCTAACACTCTTATAAACAGATAACATTTAGTAATTCAAGTGTCCAAATCCATTTGCATATGATCCCTTGACTAAGTCCTATTCTTCAGTAATTCAATTCAGAATTCAAAAATAATAGGGTCAGCAGGTGGCGTGGTGGCTAAGGTGCTGGATCCCACCTGGCCAACTCCTTGGTTTGAGTCCAAGACCTAGTGGCTTGAAAAACACACTGGGTGCATGTGTGTATGTCCAAACTCCTGAGAGTAGACTGGAGGAGAGGGAATTGTAGTGTGGCCATCCCTCTGGGAGTGACTTCTCACTTTCCCTCTCTCTGGTAGAGCACCCATGCCCTACGGCAAAAATCTAAAAAAAAAAAAAAAAAAAAAAAGTAAATTAAAAATAAAGTTTCAATTAAAATTTTTTTAAGTAATAAAATGTATGATAATACTATTTACATTACTAGCTGTCATAAAAGGCCACTTTAAATCTTATTTTCAAATAGTATAAATATATCCATTTTCTATCCTTGGGACGATAGTCAATTCAACTGGGAAACCAGCTACTGAAACTGGTATTCAAGCAGAACTGAGACTGCTCTAAAGGGATGGCTGTGACCCAGCCATAGTGAAACATGCTGCTATGATGCTGTGCTCTGCAAGCTTGCACCACATGGCAGGCATGGCAGGTCAAGTTTAATTCTCAGTCCAACCTAAAGGCTGATTGCAGCTGTGTGAACCTATAGTCCTAGCAACTCAAGCAGCTGAGTCAGGAAGATCATGACACGGCAAGACCTTGTCTTAAAAACAACAGCAAAAGGGACCAGCAGGTCGTACACTGGTTATGCCACTAGATTCCCACATAGTTGACCACTGTTCAAGTCTTGGACCTAGTGGCTTAAAGCTCACACTGGGTGGATGTGCATGCATGACCAAAATCCCAAAAGGATTAGAGTGAAGGAGAGGGATTACAACATGGTCATCCCCTGGGGGGTGATTTCTTGTTTTCTGTCTCTCTGTCTCTCTCTGTCTCTTCGGTGAGCACATGAGCCCTATAGCAAAAATCTCTTTAAAAAAAACCCAAAAAACAAACAAACAAAAAAACAACAATTAAAGGAAGGGCTTTGCTGCTCTTTCATGTCATTCAAGAGAAAGAATCTAATCTTATTTTCAGCCTAGGTCATTTTTTCCTCAGTGAACTTGGCTGCCACCACCATATTTTAGGTCTTGTTTGGTTAAAAATGGTTAAAAATTCTTACTATGCGCCCCTCAGTGGCTTCTCCAAGCAATCCCCCAAAGGTGATGACAGGTGACATGCAGGCACAGTATAGGAACAGAAAGGAGGCCAAACACTGTAGGCTGAGTGCATCCCGGTAGTCGCTCCAGTACCAGGGGGCCTTCCGCTTGATGTCCAGCACTAAGCCCCCAAATAGCCTGTGGAAACATGGCAGATAGACCTCTAATGCAGTCCCTTTTCCACAAAAGCATAAAAACAGCACACATCTGAAAGCACTTCAGTTGTGCTCTGTATTGAGGTAGTACCTTGACTTCAGTTTGATGCAAGTACAGGAAATCTCGCTGGGGTCAGCAGAGATCCTATTTACAACCAAGGACATGAATTCACAGTAAATTTCACCAATTTTCCCAAGCATAAAATAATTAATTTGGGTATGTGTATTACCCATTCAATACAAAGTTCAAGAAAATTAACATGAAAGCAAGTATCAGCTTCAAACTTCAAGGTCTGAGCTGTTAGGAAGAAATGCACAAAACCAACTCAGGATATTAAAGTTGTTAGTTTTATTAAATGTTTTCTAGATAAAAAGCACCTATCACATGCACTTTCTTACTCTGAACAATGCATATTATTCTTAAGAAATTAGCGTAATGATTCATGCAATTGACAAGTAGTAGCAGATACTGGGTGCAGGCAAGGTGCTAGGTTCCTGAGATACAACAGCGAGCAAGACAAACACAGCCAGCCATTGCTCTCCAGGACCGACGGTCTAGCACAAGACACAGGCAGCATTGTGAGGGTGTGATGGTAGCACAGAACAGGGAGGAGTAATTCAGTAATTCAGCTGCAACTGGAAGATAGACTGTGAGTCAGCCAGATGATGCAGGGGGTCGGGGGACTAATATGGATGGTACTTAAAGGTGAGAGCACACAGTAGCTTTGAGGTAAAGAAATATGACTAGATACTACAGTGTGAGGGGCAAATACCAGTAGATGAGGCTGGAGAAGCAAAGTCACAAAGGGCTGTGTATATAAACAGTTTTAAGGAACTAGAACCTTATCTTACTAGCATGTCAATTTATTAAATGACTAACATAATCAAAACATGCATCCTGGAAAGACCACTCTTAAAACTGTGTAATGAATGGAGCATTGATGGGATGTGACTGGGAGGTAGAATTAATAGGACTCGGTGGTAGGACTTCAGGGCCCCTCTGTACTTCCAAAGGATGAGACAGACCATAAGCAAGATAGCCCACACTATGGAAGAACAGTGCTCCCACATTCGGCTACTTTTTCTAAAAGTGGAGTCATTGCACCAGGGTGAAAGCTGCCAGATGAATAACAGAAAGAGTTACTCAGCATTCTATGGGACAAACCATCTGGTTTCTTCTACAAATCAATGGCACAGAAAAAAAGAAACAGCGGGGACAGCAGGTGGCATGGCGGTTAAAGGCACTGGATTCCCACACGGCCAACCATGGTTCAAGTCTCGGATCTGGTGGCTTGCTTTATCTCTTTTCCTCTCTCT